GAAACCGCTTTACGACAATCGTTGCTCCCACTGACTTCGAAACTCAGTTCAGCTAGACTTTCCGGAGCGCAGCACACAGTTCCATCGAATGGCACTGGTCCACCGGACCCGACCAAACCAACCATCGAAGCACTTGCTAGTTCATCCATACATTTAGAACCTCCAAGATCAGTGACCACGGAATCTGACCGAACTCCTCCACAGACCACGGAAGGTAGTCCACTGTACTCAACCGCAAGTAACTTGAATGCTCCGGAGTATAACGTCGATTCACCTGTCGAACTCGAAACGGTCGAGGATGATGATGATGGCCAAGGTAAGTAATTGGAGTAAAATGTTACTGTAGCACAATCTCGTTAAGGTTTGGAAAAGATTCGTCGTACGCCACTACTACTCACGTTTGCGTACCACTATTCACCTTATTAATAAAACTGATTAACCGAGTACCGAAAATGATTCAGTGGAGCAATGAAAGAAACTGGAAAACCTTATTCAGTAGTTCGCAATGGGAAGCTGACGAATTTACTCACAAGTAGTCGATAATCAGGACAGAAATGGAATTGGATCGTAAATAAAAGAGATTGGTCTACATCTTTCAACCTACTGATAGATAATAATCGATGCCTAGCTGCCATGCCAACTGAGTTTAGACAATGCTAGCTTGCCCAGGCCTAGACAGGAGCAGTCGAGAAGTTCGAACCATGGCCCATCTGGCCGGTAACTTTGCACCCTATCCACTGAGCCATGTTGAGCTCACCCTTCAAAAGGTGCTTACTGCTTACTGCCCGACAGGCTCTCATTTATTTCATTTCCTTTCATTCACTTTTTCAAAATGAATCGGATCGATGCACTGATTACTTTTTAAAAGAATCCCTAACAGAAAAAGCCCTGTATGTCGGGACAACTTTTTTCGGTCCCGATTTTGTGGTGCAAAAGTCTTCCGTAAAAAAAACACTAGGAAAAACCATAAGCTTGACGTAATTTAGACTATTTTGTTGCTCTGACAGATGTAACAAGGCAGTAAGAGCAATGAAACTGAGGAAGCATTCACTTCGCATGCTCTTTGCTGTGCTAGGTTTATGAGTGGGTACGGGGGACGAATTTAAAACGACTGATCGATATGGCCTCAAGGCAACTCAGTCTCCGTTTGCTTCACGCCATGAACGGTAGTTGATTTCAGCTCTGTCGGCAGTGTCTGAAGATCGATAAACTGACCTTAGACACGTACAGGACTGAGTTGGATTTACCCGGTTTGGTACGAAGGTATTTGGGCGCCCGCTTCAAACTTTCTGCTCCTTCTGTCAACGAACATAAGTAGCAACTACAATTCGACTTGCAGCAGTCTCCAAGCTGGTGTACACACAATTATCATGTAATATACGTTCAGCTCAGCGATAGTTTCCTTTTAAATAGGCTGAAGGCATGATCATCAGCTTAGAGTTTCTTTTCGTGTGACTGTCGCTTTCAGCTTAGCAAGTTAGGTGATATGGTTCTCCATGAGGTACATCTTAATTCTCGCTACAGAACGTTCAAAAATGGACGTGTTTTGCATTATTCAAATCCACAAATCAATAAACGCCGCTCGCAGAATTGCCCGCCATGACTGGTCCCTTAGTGGCACCTTCGTAACTCATCATTATCATCATCAACGTCAGTATGCCACCGGGGCTTCACTGCCGTAAAACCATGATTTATTTGAAAGCCTTATTGTGCAGAAAAGAATAAAGGTGGACGGGGACGGGACTTAGTTCAAGCCTACTACAATCATTCCGAGGTGCCTAAATCTCCATACACTCATTCAGGCAGTCTGACAACAAGAAGGTCACTAACATCAGTTAACAGCCACATCCTGCAGTGGAGATCACGCGGTCCATATTTTGGAAGGTTCCTTGTCACTGATGCTCTGGAACTAAGAAGCGACATTCTAAGTACATACTAAGATGAACGGTTTAAGGAAAGAAGTTGAAAGTGATGGTCTGGATAATCACCGAAAAAATCCACATTCGTAAAAAAAGAACTGATTGCACATGAAACATGACCATATTTTTCTCACGAAAAGACCGGACCTTACCGTGGTGTGGCGGTTTGTGTACCTCGGCGACCCATTGAGCTATACTGGGGAGTGTCCGCGCGACACTCATAGAGTCTCTCATACCAGGTTGGTCCATGGGTAGAGGTCCGACGAGCACAGTCTCCTGGCCCTCCAGGTTGAGGGTTGGAACATGTGGCGACTTGTTCCGTAAAAAATGGTAACATACTTGCATTTCCAGCCAAACACCGCTGCGTTGCGGTTAGGCTTTTTAGCCAAAAGCTTTGGTTGAGGACCCTAATCGTCCTCCTGTCTAGGTGTGGGCGCCCTGGCAGTATCCCAGCCCTCGTATAACCATAACGTACACAACATAACAACTATTCTCATGCCACATCGGCCGTCGCATGGTGCCATCAGCCGGGTCGCCTTTGTACGGCAGTGAAGCATCGGTGCCAACACTGATGTAGCAGTCTTTGATGATGATGACCATAATTTCCTGATAGGTATGAATAGGTTCCATGTGAGCCGTACTTGCTTTGTGGGTAGCGTCTATTGTATGAACTAATTTTGAAAAAAATTCTATCTAGTGATTTCCATACATGAGAACAGAGTGAGCCAATTCTAGGTATAATTGAATGGAGGGCCACCTTGAATTTGTGAATATCTGGGGGTTGAGTAAATTGGGGAAAGTCGAAATCATAGAGTAGAAAAATTTGTGAGTCATAAAACATTTCGTCTCCTACCAGCGGTAGCCTTCGGTCGTTTATGGGTTAAAAGCCAGGACGTATCGGCAAAAGCTCTGCCGAATTTGGGCAAGTGGTCCGCTTTGTTCAGATAACACCGGTGTATCCCCAGTATCATTTTCGTTCTATGATTGTCCAGTCCTTCCTTGGCTTCTGCAAAGCTCTTGTGTTTCTTTGAGGTATTAAGAATTTCGACGTATCGAGAAAACGCACCCATTGTCGGCAAAACGAATCAGCTTTGTTCTGACCACTCCGTTTTCCGAACGTGACCAATATCGTCTGAATAGATCATAACGACATTATTGTTTCTCTGTCATGTTTTCAGGACGTATCCCATTCAGCACACAAGACGAAGAATATTCTGATCTGACTTGGTTTTACCGGATCCATCAAACCCACCCTGCAATTAGCGAATATACACTCATTTGCAAACTAATTTAGTTCTTTCGAGAGACTCACCTGGAACCCAGCTGAGAGAACCAAATTAGTTTGCAAATGAGTGTATATTCGCCAATTTCGTGCAATTTGGTTTCAAGTAGAACATAAGGTTGACGGAAACTCGGGGACTGCGCCTACCTGATGAGCCCCAAGAAGGGCGAAACCGGTCGTGGGCTGTCGATAAATTTTCAGCAACCTTATGAGTAGTACACTACTTAGCAATTATTGTGATTGATTTTCACTCAAAACTGGACTTGACCGCCTGGAGTGCTTTACGCTCTATATTCGGAAAAATCCATGAACCCAGCTTGTAAGTAAGGGTTACAGAAGTGAAAAAATTGGAAACTGACAGACTGCAACTCGTGTTACGCAAACATATTCGCACTCACCCTGTTTTGACAAATTATCGTTCCGCAGTTGGAACAAGGTTGAAAAGGCATAACGTACTAATGATAAGCTTACTGAAAACTCTCCGACAGCACATGACCGGTTTTGCCCTTCTCCGGACACATCTGATGGGTATGATCCCCAAGTTTTCCTAAACCTTGGACACAAGTTACACAAAGTTTAACCAATTTGGTTTTTAATGGAGACTCACCTGGAGGCTAGCTGAATTTCTCCCTTTCAACGATATCCTTCTTCGACTAATGGGTTACACCAGGCCGCCTCATTTTTCAGTTGGTATGATAATCAAAGAAGAACTTCAAAAATGATAGATTCGGTAGGGCTGAAAAGAGTTTAGAAACAACTAAATAGTGAGGTGGACCGTCGTGTTTTTTTATTAGGCTTACGATTGAAAAAACTTGTCTTTCTTAGGCTGAGTTTATTAAATAAGCCAACGGTTTGGTGGCTCTCTTCTCGCTGAGGTAAATCAACAGGTAATAACTAAAACCACCAAGTGGTGTGAGCGTGAACAAAATACTTATTCCGAAAAACCCCAAAACTGCAACCAAAATGTTGCCCAGTGGGTTTCAAGCGTGTGTTACGCTACCTGACTGGGAATTCCTGACTGGCGGGTCAATCGATCGTCACAACCAGAACAGTTACTGGGTCGTCGTTCGATGAGTCGGGCACATCAATCACATCGCTCAAGTGTGAACACGTTCAGCTGTTCAGACGTGAAAATTCAGATGCATCCAACGTGAGTTGGTGGGTTAGTGGTTACACGCTCGACTCGCATGTCAGATGTCCGGGGTTCAAATCCCGGCACGGCCATTGAGTATGTACCGCTGGTGCTCCATTTCGGTGTGGACTCGCCGGAATACCTACGCCAGAACAGGAGGACGTTCAAACGATTGTTGTGATCGTGAATGAATTACAGTCCTCATCAGTCTTGGTTCCTGACTTTCGGGCTGGCAAGTCAGGGTTGTCCTTCGCTCGAAAAAATTTCTTACAGTTGATACTACCGGGTTACTAGCAGTCCTTTGAATGGTATCGTTCATACTATGACGCGATAACCCATTCAGTTTGATGCCAATTCGTCCTTACATCCCGGAAGGTACTGCGCACTGTTCAGAAGTGGTCTGTCAACCTATCTGTTTTAAATCGTTTGTACATGATCATGCTGAATCCTGTGTCGCACTGTCACGCTGTGTTCGGGGGCCAGCCGTCCCTAATAACCGAACATCACGTCATTTGGACGCATGTGTCACGTGCAGGACACGGGCCAGACGTAGGCATGCCCTGATTGGTCAGAATACCAGCCAATCCGAGTCAAGCACTTTGACTCGACGGTTCTCGCCCCCTCACGGACATTCTGGCACGACCTTGTGGAACACTCTGTGACTACCCTATATATATATACAGTTGTAATGATTTTCCTTTGTCTCCATAAAGGGCTGTGTAGAGCTACCGTGCCTTTTGATATAACATAGTGGGCGGAGCAGGAAGCCAAGGGACCGATACAGAGTTGCACTACCGTACTTCAAGACATAACACGCTGCGACCTATTTCGATCAGACCCATCCTAAATAGAATTAAGAGGTTTCAGCTATTTTACGTCCTCATCGTCGAAACACCAAGTCGAGAATTCGTAGCGATATTCGGAGTGCTCAGTGGAGTTGTCCAACCATGAGTAATGTAGGATTAATTGACAACAGCAACAATCCAATTTGAAAAATCTCCCACTAAAATGCATAAATTCTGCATAGGAAAAGAAATAAATACCCTAGTTTGGCCACTGAAGGATGTGGTCAAAAGTGGTTGTTCTTGAGGAGTGAACTGTGTTGGGAGGTTGGTACAAATGGCAGTACTAATCTTCCTTAAATTTTAGAGGAAGAGCCGTGTACATTGAAACGCAGGACAGTGAACAACTCTAGCTGGAATAGATCAAAAAGGATCACTCTAGTGGGGCACGTGGTACATGTTTTACGCTTAACTGGGGTATTTCCGGCAGTACCTTCCTTACTGGTTATTGCCTGCGACGAGACACGCTTGGCTACTAATGAAGCCGCATCAATAACTGGGAGTAATTTTTTTTCTTTGGGCTGCTGTGATGGATCGTGTGTGTTTAAGCCTAACTCCACTCTACAGCTTTTTTATGCGAAAAATATCGGTGCTCCGGTTCAACAGGCAGGCCAGGTTCCTAAACCCGAAGTGATGTTTGTCAGCAAGTATGTAAAAAAAACTGGATCGATGAGGTCGATGCGTTTTGAGATTCCTGTCATACACTGTTGAATCTACTGGGTTATGTGACTGACTTAGAACTCAAAGACCGGCTGTTCTGGGCACACTGCTAAAAACGCTGTTGATGTGAGTATCTACCATACTTGAATGATTCTGATTGGTTGACGCTTCATTATACTATTCAATAATACCAAGTGATGACTCAAAAAGCGAATAATAACAACTTTTGAAACAATCAATCTACTCCAGTCTGTTTTGTGAGATCAACCAACTAGTCTGGAACTATCCGCGTCTTATCTTACCATCAGTATGTGAGATCCATGTGAGCAAGCAGACAGACAAAATTCGATCATATGCGTCATATTTTGAAATGTATGTTGGGACACAACACTTTGTGTGGGTCGGTACCATTTCCGGTTTGTGGTGAGCTCATTCAAACAAACGTTGAAAGCAATCAGGTACAACGTCACAAAGAAATATTATTGTGTGAATACGCTAAGCCATTGACAATTAACAGGTCAGGTAAGCTACCCCGTTTTGGAAATCCTAGCCAATAAGGGAATTCCGTTGAAGCAATGAGTAATCGATGAAACTGAATTTTATCGATCACTGAATTTAAAAACTTTTTAAAAACCCTGAAACGTGTGAATTTCTGAAGGTCATTCGGTCACTATTACTGTCTGTTTTTGTTTTCAGGTTACGGCATCAGTAATTTCATTGACAGTGGTCAGTGTAACGAAAGTGTAAGTTTGCATTTGAATTCCCCTGAATGCATTTTCTGATTCGTCTTTCTTGCTTTGCCAAAACCACGGAATTTCATTCGAAACACTTCATGCTTGTTGGCCGATCGATGCTCTACCCCTCATTGCTGCTATCAGTTCCAGGTGGTTCATAGTTGACACCAGATTCACACAGACGTTGAATACAAGAAAAACACATGTAAACCTTTACTTACAATGCTCCCAACTTTTTACTCACTCTCGACAAACAGATGCAGCAAAAATGAACGATGTCAACCTCCCTGTGCCAGGTAGTTAAAATGAACCCTTGTTCATATACTGGTTGTACAGTAATGAATCCTTTTCGACCAGAGTGCCATATAGGTTGGTCTGACTCGAAAACGCTGGATCCAAAGTAAACGAGGTAGTTTGACGATTTGACCTGACCGTCTCGAGTCACAGTAACCCACTGTGACTGTGGATACCGTCCAGAATTATATAGTTACCACGAACCGTCGTCAGTGATTCGTTCCTACGTTGATTTGTGCTAGTTCAGCTGGAAGAAACTTTGTGGCTTGCACAAATGTCCGTTGAACGTAACTCACAAGATTGGGGTAAATTGTGCGGGTGTTTACAGTTTTTCCATCTTCGCCCAAAGATTTAGGTTTTTTTTAGAGCTTTCAATGGTAACATTTTTCTGTAATGCACTACTCGTGAGGTTGCTGAAAACTCCTCGACAGCGTAAGACCGGTTTCGCCCTTCTTGGGGCTCATCAGGTAGGCACAGTCCCTGAGTTTCCGTCAACTTTATGTTCTACTTGAAACCAAATAGCACGAAATTGGCGAATATACACTCAGTTGCAAACTAATTTGTTTTTTTCTGGAAACATCAAAACCGAGAGACCCAGCTGAGTTCCAGGTGAGTCTCTCAAAAAAAACCAAATGAGTTTGCAAATGAGTGTATATTCGGTAAATTTTTTCTGTTAAAGAGAGCCAGTAATCCACAATAAAACAAATTCAGTCTTAGCGTCCTTCTCGTACTCAGTTCTCTGATCCCCGCGGTCCAGTTTCTGTTTGTCAGTTTTCTGAAACCTTCAGATTTAAGCACATCCAGTCTTGAGGTAAATAGGGATCGTCTTGTTCCCCATTGCCGATTTGAATTGGATGCGGACTGATAGTGCAAGCTGCCGGGATAAGTGCACTCTCCTCGGAGCTAAGCACACATAAAGACATGCCAAGGAGACTTTGTGACCATTCTTTTCCTGCTTGGATCCTTGTCACGGAAGGGAGGTTCTTTGCCGTCCCATTTTCAAAAAAGATTTTAATCATCAAATGCTTGTAACAGAGCAACCCTATCAGACAAACCCATCTTAGACAAATGAGAGTAATTCACAGAAGAAATACCTCCTGAGAAGTTCACGCCGCCTTTCATCGACTTTGATTTGGAACCTGACCCCTTGAGAAGTATTCACCACGCAGCTGGAGGCCAATATATCCCTTATTGTGACTCCATCACTTACGTCACTGAATGAAATTAATTTAAATCAATTTACCAGAGTACTTTTATATTCATCCCACTCACCCTAATTGAGCGAGGCCACTGACAACATTCTTGGAGAAGGCTTCAGGGTGAATTATGACCTGGGACAAAGAATGCCAACGTCCTTTTCTCATAAATTTAGCTTTTCTCTTGATAAAGTTCCCCATTTTTTCCTAAATTTTGAGCGGTGTACAGTTACTCTCAACTCCACTCATCACATCCCTGAGACTGACACATTCGCAGGTCGGACTAGCTAACTCGTAACTCCTTTACATACTTTTCCGGAAACTTAAACTTGGATTTACCAGTGAGAAATACTCAGACTGAAATCGATACTGTCCACCCACGCACTGCTTACGGAAAGCTCAAGTGCATCCCCAGTCTGTATTCTAAATCCTTTAGTCAGACTTAAGCATGCGGAAGTCATGTAAATGGCATTTAGACCACATGATGTAAATTTTTGGAAGTCACTTTGCACTATATATCATTGCTTATTTCCAATCATCATCATCGTCAGTCATCGTCATCACCATCATCATCATCAATATCGACAGCATGACATCAGTGTTCAACACCAACGCTTCGTTCAGTTAGTTGAAATACATGGAGGAATATATAATAAAAAGTCACGTGCAAGAGAGCAGTAAACAAGCTGATGAGAAGGCCAGCAGGGTTTTGTAAGATGCTAGAGTCGTTTCAAGAAATAAAATGGTTTTATGGTATTTGCATACACTGCAGAGATCCAATTGTTCGGTTGGGAGTCGCATTTATACACGCATTTGCGCTCATTATCTCTCATAATGCGAGTCCCGGTTTGAGACCATATTTCTGGCCTGGACTGTACCGAAAAATTTATTCAAGCGAGCAAGGATCAGGAATCAGAAATAATTATAGAAACTGAAATTAAAATATCCGACAAGTTTGATTGGTTGCACGCCAAAACAAGGTAAGTTGACTGCTAAAAATGAGGGGAAATTAAAAATAATTACTCGTGTGAAGCTAGGCTGGTATTTACCCCACAGTCAACTGAAATCTGCTTTT